TACTATAGAGCTGCCAAAGTTTGAATGGATGGGTGTAATTAGAGGTTACCTTACTGCAATCTATGATGTAGCGATTTATTGTTTACACTAATCGGAACACCAAAATAAAATGAATGAGTGATAACGTCAAGAACGTTCGCTACCATACATGGCGGGCGAGTATGTTGCAGTTCCTTGCCGTGAGGAGGATGTCGAAGAGTAAACTGACAGCACACACGTTGGACATTTGATCATGGAATAGATGACTCCACAAGAGCAATCTGATCATAAACAGATATGTCCTGCCCCAATGACGGCGTCACGGGACAAGCTGCTTCGGCTCAAAAGACAGTCAAGCGCTGACGTATGCGCATCTTATTAATCAACTTTCCTGGAAGCGAATTGTCTTTCACTCTTCTATTACCCTGATCTGAGCTAGATATTGGTTTGTATCGAATGACGATTTTTCAATTCAGTTGCTAAACTCTCAGTCTGGATGTAAGTTTAAGCTACACAATATTCGGACCCAGAGCAGATTACTTATCATGTATCTCTATATAGTTTGAAATCAAAATTAATTCTAACTTCATGGCGGAAAAAATAACTAAGCATAACGAAATTTTTACTCACAAACATACTATACCAAAAATTACGAGGAATTACAGAAAGTAAAAACATTCCGTAGAAACATGATCACGCGACACATACCATTGTGACTCAAAGGTCTCAACGTTTGAGTAACAGGGAGACTTCATTTGTACACGTACGAGATCTGTATACGGAACAGGATAATTGCAGGATAAAAGACACACAGCCTAATACTGTTTGATAACGTTTGGTGTAGAAATCTAAACCCGTCGTCTCCCAGATACTTCGAACCGAAAGTTGGTTGTACTACTCGTATCCTCCTGTGCGTTAGCTATGACGTATAAACTTATCCGTTGAAGATCAGGGTCCACGTTTGTAACACTTCTTGACTATTGGCCTCTTGACAGCGTATTAATACACATATAATACGATAAGGTTTATTCTGAAAACTCAAATATATCATATAAGTCTACTTTCATGTTGTAAGATATATCACGGTGACAAATATTAACATACAACATAGCATCCACGCTTTATGTCCACCACGTCTGGGTAAATGCCCCACATAACAGTCACTAGGCTGACAAGCAAGCCCTACCCCTTCTGACATGCGACAATGCTGCGGGTACTCGCAGCGATCTCCGCCTGACAAAAACACCAGTCCAGACGTAATTAAACTACGGAGCCATTCACTGAACTCTGAGGACAGAACGAGGAGGGTCGTATTCCGTCTGTGTCAACACATGTCTGACTTATACAGACCAAATTTCCTCTTGTCAGACACTGCCGTACTCCCTCTTCTACTTCTTCGGCAGGAAAGACGACATTGCAAAATCTAGCTCGGAAAATATATAGACGATAGTACAACGAAACGTGCATAGCGGGTCCGCGCGGACTGTGTACGTGGTCGCGTGTCAGGCGCTTTCCTCTTCGCTGAATGGAATGCTCTTAACATCCCGTTAGCAATGAATATCTTTGTGCTTTGACAAAAAATCCATAAAAAAAAGTCATCTGTGGAAGCCGTGGTACTGTAAAAAGCACGACCAATCAATTTGAGCCGGCCCGGCTAAAGTAACTGGATGGCCTACCTGCCTGTCAGCCTTCCATCTGTGCACAAACTTATCTCGTGCCCTCATTGGTCAGGTGTGCGTTTGTGTGTGTTGGAGGAGGGGCTCTGTAAGGAAGTGGCCACCTTTAAATGTGAAATGTGAAAGGTTTGATACAATGTGCCACCGTTTTGCTTTTAAAATGACAATACAGTTGTTGAATCTTGTTTAGATTTAGTTGTTTAGTTGCATATTATTATAGACATTATAGACTTTTTTGATCCAACTTTAATGAAAACCAGAGCAGAGCGACTTCCCTCAACTTTTGCTGCGATCCAATTGTTAAAACCAATAAGGTCCTATATCTTTACCTAACCACTTTTCCTTAAACTCAGTGAACAATGTCATTGGGTTAAGGAAAGACAACCGTGGTGGACAACGTAAATGATAAGCCAGTGGAAGTTATTGATATGCATTGGCTGTTGGAAAACGAACATTTGGATCTGTAAATGGACTACTAAAAGTGCATCTAAACACACACGTGCACAACAGTAAATAATATGATTTCATTACGATGCTTTGGGTTATGCTTACCCCTAACTGTAATTTGCGTAAAGTTCATGGTTCATCTTTTGGTTTAACCTTGTCTTAAAGGTTCTAAGTATCAACAACAAAGCACTTTGGCAAAATCTGGTATAAGTTGGAAAATGCACCGTATTTTGACATGATAGTGTAGTAGTGGATGGTGCTTCACTTTAAATGTAGCTGCCGCAAAGTCTTGTGGGACAGCATTATTTCCTTTCAGAAAGGACGGTCCAGTGTATCCTAAACTAAAGGAGATTATATAAAGGAAGCATTGTAGCTCCTTTCCTATCTTCTAGAGAATTCAGCTCTTATCACGGAGGTACTTCTGGGTCTTTTTGCTGTGTTAGGAGCCTACAACTTTGCATGTCTAATCAAGAGACCAGACTCACAAATGGTGTTTAGTTTTTGTCAGATGGTGTATGTGGGTAAATAACGCAGAAAAGAGTTCAGCGCATCACTGTAATGCATAGCCGACATGCCTGTGCTTTTCTCTCAGCTGATATTCAGGTTCCCAGATGTACTCCAGCTGCTGCTTCATATTGACTCATACATCATATACCTGGTTTAATTTGTTTGTATAATATGATTAGTTGCCTATAGGTGAAACCTGAGACTAATTTGACACATCACTGCTCTAATCTGTTTACAACAACTTTAAAGTATTAAAATGTCCAATATTTTTCTCATCAAATTATGACTTTAGAGCAGATAATGTTGCATATCCATAATATGAAGATTTCTAATTTGTAAATGTTCCACATGAGAGGAGTCACTGTGAGGGAAAGCTAATATAAGACTGATTGTTATATCTTTTGTCGGGTACGTTTAGCCCTTTTTCTAAATGTTCCACGTGAGAGGAGTCACTGTGAGGGAAAGCTAATATTAGACTGATTGTTATATCTTTTGTCAGATTGTCAGTAATAACACGGAGATCGTCAAAACTGTATGCTGGCTCGGGTCATCCATGAACATTGCAAAACACAACGCAGAGACCGCTTAACGACACCGGTTACATATATAATAGCTTTTAAAACAAAAGTCGAAAACCTGCAGTTAATAGATCTAGTATAGTGTAGATCTCATAGCAAATATCGTATGTAAACGTAAATGCACTAATCATTATAATTAACAGTTGACACAGAAGGGAGAGTTAAAAGGCAGTTAATATTGCTATTACATTTGTAACATCAATAGAAAAGGAGAAATACATTCAGATGTTGCTCTGTATATGCTGGATGTGTTCATTCGAGACGGTTTGCTAAGGGCATACAAAATAAAATATTACACTATAAAGCTTTACCAATTTAGGATATAGTCACATTGACACATATCCTTCAAATAGGCAGGTTTGCTTCTCTAACCCTTACCTTAGCCCTGCATCCGTAGTCCAGAGTCTTCCAGTTATTATGATCATTTGAAGCTATACCATCACTATGTGCCTCTCATTGCGAAGTTAAGCCCTCCATAACATAGATTGGGGACATTTAGCCATTTGGAATACTTGCAGATGGACATATTTTCAGTGGCAAAATTCAAGGTAATGTTAGGTCTTAAATGCTAATGATGATATTTGTTACTTGTTGGTGTTTTCTTACACCTGGGGGCATTCAAATGATCATGTGGCATCTGCTTACCAACTGCCCTTTCACTAAGTGTTGGTTTATTCATGTTGGTCAGTTCATGTTATTATAATGGCACAAATGTCAGTGTATCTACATTTAACAAATAAACGAGTGGAAGAATAACGAGACAAACTCAAGTGTTGGTGTCTGATTTTCTGCTTCATCAGTGATTTATTGTATGTCTGAATAATCGGTTGTTCTTTGCTCCCCTCTTCTTCCCTCTGACTCTTCCCCCTCTTGCTCCTGTTTCTTGCATCCTTGGTCCTAGTTGGTGCTGCCAGAGTACTCCATCCATGGACTCTTCTGCATCATGTTCCTGTGTGCCCAGGAGTGGCTGACCGTGGGCCTCAACATCCCCCTGCTCTTCTACAACACATGGAGGTGACTATACAATTCATACGTTTGTGTGTGGATGGATGGATGGTGTGCTCTCGGGTTAGGGTTAGGCTTGTCCTTGTTGAATGTATAATATATTAAAATTTACTGAAAATTAAATTAAACTTGAATTTGTGTTGGAAAGTAGGCTTGCTTTTTGTCTGTTGGCAAGTGGCTACGATTCTAGTATTCCCAGGAATTATGTGCCTATTAGATACAAACATACATTCCTATAGCGGGAACTGTAAAAACATTTGAATAGAAAGTCATCTGGGTTTTTGCTTAACATTTCCAATAACAACTTTTTGTCTAGGACAATAATGGAGTTATGCAGTTCAGATTTGAATTACAGACAATTATAGGACCAATTCATGTTGGTTTCGGTTTTAATGGGATTTATTTACAACAAATACAGAATAATTGAGGAACACATTACTTCTTTGGGGGGTTTTTTCCCCAAAAAACGTTTTGTTTGTTTAGAATATTCTGCTGATTTTAAATCACATCCAGATACCTCCCCACATTTATACTATGAAGATGTCTGGCGTTATTTTCAGAGGATGTATAGACAAATGTTTATGAGAAAATGCACGGTTACAAGCAAGTAAATCAGTGTTCTAACACAAGATTCTGAAAGGCAATTTCTCAAAAACTGGGTCTTAAGATTTCTTTAGTTGCTTCTTCTTTGTCTTTGTTCCTTTTCTTTCCTCAAGTGTGTGTTAGATGTAGTCTGCTGGCAATGTGATTCGGTTAAGCTCATGCGCTCAGCTGGTTGAAGTTACAGACTGAGTGGAGAGGAGAGCCAGAGAGAGAAACACATCTTGCTGTCTCATTAATTGGAGGCTGTGCCAGATGCCCAGCGGCTACAGAGGCAGCTTCCTGCACAGCTGAGAGATGAGAGGAGAAGGAAAAGAAGGGAGACATAGATTGAGTAGGGTGCAAAATGACGGAGGGAAGTGGCAGGAGAAAGGACGGTGGGAGTCGAGTGAATGATAGGGTAGAGATCTGATATTGACAAGGTGATTCAGAGGAGAGGGAGGGAAGGAAACACTGATTAGTGATCACACCAACTTATATGGATGCGTTTGTGTGTACGTGTGTGTATGTAAGTGTAGCTTCTCGCTTGTGAGTCCATATGCAGATGTGACTCGCAGATGTTGCTGAGAGGGCTACTTTAAAAGGCTAGATTGACAAAGTTGCTTTCAGCAAAGCTTGATGACTTTAAAACTTGATTTGAAAGATGTAGTGCCTATAATAACAGGCCTGAATGCCAAATTGTGCGACCACATTTGTATCCGTGAAGCGTAAACTTGGAATCATGGAAAAAAAGACCCTACCTATAACTAATAAAACAAAGTAATACAATAAAGCAACCAGTTATCAGTTCATCCACGAGTTCATCAAAATCATTTCCTTATATGCTCACATACATTGCATTATCATTACATCATTTTCCTGTTATGGTTTTATTGAATTTTTTTTCAGACGTCTGTTTCAGCACATCTCCTAGTTGTCCAGAAATTCAACAATGGTTATACAATTGTACATGAGCTATTCTTTTTGCTGTTTTTTCATTCCAAATGACTCCCTCTTAATTCCCAGAAATAAAACCACGGTTCCAAATTACACAGCAGTGTAAATGCTATTTTTACTGAAGTGAAGTTCATGCAGACTTAACTCTGTGCTTAACTCTAAATAGCTGCATATAAGATGTATACGTACTGTATATAACTTTATCAACTTTTACAAAGTAAGGCAATATAACCTTAGACGTAAATTCAGAAGTAAACAGTAGAATATTTAGACTGAGGATACCCCTACTTCGGGAACCAATTTACATATGAACACTGCAATAAAAATACCTATAGATGTATTCATTCTCTAATTGGGGTTGGCAAAATCCACAGTCTCTGGTATTCCAAAGTCTTTGTGTTTAAAAGTAATAGATACAGTCTTTCTGTACGGAATTGGCTCTTACTGAAAAAGACTGTGAATGTTTTCCCCATCCCTTCCATTGGAAACACATTAAAACCTATCCTTACAAACTAGTTGTAAACAAACCAAAATGTCTCCAATGACACTTCAATCATCATCATCATCATCATCATCATCATCATCATCATCATCATCATCATCATCATCATCATCATCATCATCATCATCATCATTATCATCATCATCATCATCATCATCATCATCATC